TGCTTAATGGCTTCTGCTCGGAGCAGGGGAGCTGAGCTCCCTCGGAGGAAGGCACTGTCTGTTTCTTTGTTAGCCATGAACAAATAAAAATTAATTTATTTCCTTAGTGACACCCTAAGGAGACAAAAGGGAAGTCGTTAAACGAGTCCTCAGCTCAATCAGTCAGGATGAAATTGACTGCAGGCCCTTCTGCAGTAAAGCTGAAGGGCTGCAATGAAGGCAAAGGAGAATGAAGATTGCTTAGGTGCTTAAACTCTGTGTTTCTGTATTTACATGGCTGGGCTTAAGTGTACTGCACTTGAAAGGGTAAAGACACTTTCAGAAGATAACGTCCCTGTAATATTTAATACCAAATTATCAAGGATGTATCCTCCTGCCAGTTTACTTTCATCCCAGCACAGCTTTGCCCATACCTAACCTTTATCCAAATCACAGGCTACGTTTAGTGCTGTGTCTGTTTACAGTGATGGGTGCCCCCCTCTCCAAAACCTCCTGGACAAAGGTCACAGCGTGCGCTTTTGGGTTTGCCCTGCTGCCAGTGGCAGTTGAATGCATGCTCATGCAAGGCACTGGTGCTTGCTGGGTTTAATACTTCACATAAGAGACAACATTAGAGAGGCCAAGATTCATGTTCTTAGTGGGCACCATGCCTTGTCCTTGCAGCAAAGGTAGGAGAGTCAGAGCAGACCTAGTAAATAAGCTAAGCACAATAAATGCTGAATATAGAAACTTTACAATTACTCGATGAATAAAAAAATGCAGAAAACTTTCTTCTTTAATGAAGTTACTTGTCTTGTAGTTTTAAGGGGTTTACTTCCTTTGCTTCTTACGGAAGTCTGTACTAAGTCTTGAATCAACATGAAATGGATGTGAGTGCTGGTCAATGAGTAACTTTAAGTAGAGCCATAAAATGAACCAGTTTTATTTCTCTGGGTCAGGAAATTATTTTAGAAAGAAAGAATACATGTAAGAAACAAGATGTCTCATGCCGGGAGACGATACCAAGATAAGCGATGCAGGCACCATGAGAACCATGGATCTGATAGATATGAGGAAGACAGAAGAGCAAGTAAACTATACCCATACAATGCAAGGTATGTCTTTATCGCCTTAAAGAAACATATCACAGCAAGTCTATAATGTCTGACATCTTGTTTGTTTTTAAATACCTTCATATTACAGTAGTACAGAAAGCATTTACTCAGCCTTGAAATCATGAAGCACGAGCATGACACATTTGAATCAGGGAGCTATTTTACACTTAGAAATAAAACCTTTGTATTGAGCTTGAGAGGGGGCAGAAAGGTAGGCTGCATGACACAGGCTGAGACGTCACTTTCCTGGGGTTATCTGGATCAAGTTGGGTCACAAGCAGGTGAAGTGGGCCACGTGTCAGCTCCTGAAGAGGCTGGTCAGCAGGTGACAGCAAGCCATGGCTTGCCAAATATGCATTGCTTAAATGAGACTGTTACATGACTGAGACCAGCACAGGGACTTACTGAACTCTCAGGTTGCTCTAGTTCAGCCATGAACAAGTTCATATTAATCTAAACCAAAATTAATTTCAGTAGTCACAGTCAATAGATGAGTACTTGTTTACGTGTCTAAGGCTGTTTGCAGCACTCGATAGTGGGTCAGCCCCTATCACCACAATAAGCAGATCAACTAATAGGTTTGGAGTGACAAATAAACTGTTAGGATGTTACACTTCTCCTGCCAGCCTACCACACATTAGATGTGAGCTTAGGCTGTTTCCCTTTAAGGGCTTGCAAATGACTGCATTGTAGGAGAGGGGTCTGAAGCTCTAAATGCCACTGGGCAAATTTGCCTTGGCATTAAAGTGTTCATCACTGCCATTTAGTCTCTGGGGGCATGATTGTAGGGCAATTTAAGAATAGAGGCAAAGAGGGAGAGGAGATAAATATAATTAAGGTTATTAAAAAGCTGAAATACGGAAGTACTCTGTGGTAATATGCATTTTAACAAGAAAAACAGGATGAGAATAAAAGCAGCAGTGAAGAGCTTTGTGCGGACTAGAAGTACTTATGGCTAAGTGTAAAACATTTGGATGGTGATAATTCTATTGTATTATGAAAACAGCTAATGAATTTTTCTTCTGTCTCTTAAATCATGAAAAAATTGAGAGAAATGGGAACAAAAGGATAGGTATAAATTAAACTACCACTTCTTAATAAAGCATTTCTCTGGACTTCTTGGTTTTGTTGTTAGTTTTAAATGACTGGACATGCAGACTGAAAATTGGTGGACAGACTGTAAAGGGCAACACTGGGGATTTGAGGAAGGGAAGCTGCAGATACAGATATGTGATAGCCTTGGAGATAATTCTTAAGAGTCAAGCCCAGAATCTGGGGGGCACCTCACTGCAACTAATTGAAAAACTTTTCCATCAGTTGTTTAGATTGAGTTTGGCTTAACCTAACAGCATTTTCCCTGCTTTGCTGTCACAACAAAACCAGCTGCTTTTGTAATGAAATGTCAGTATTTTGGTGAAGACTTAGGCTGATTGACCGAAAGACCTCCAGATACTATAATGAAATAGGTCGGAAGAGTTTTATGGAAGCTGTAATTTGGGTACCAAATTCTTTCATCCCTTATGAGCAAGACTTCCTAGCCATAGTTTTTCTCTTTCTGAACACATTTCTGCCTGAAACTCCTATAGCAAGCTTCCTCTTATTGCTGAGAAGAAAGGGTTGCATTACCCAGAACTGGAAGGTCCTGAAGGAAAATAGGAGCAAAGGTGGCCAGAGTAGGCCATTGTGAGGAAAAAAGCACCTAAAAGAAAGGAATTTTTTTTTTCCCTAATTGTACTCTGTTGCTGAACATTAGGGGGTTTTTGTTTTGGGTTTTTTTGATTTGTTTTCTGGCAAGTAGCAGGATACAATAGAGAGAAGCAGCTGCATCAGAAGTACCAAAGGGATTGCTTTCAAGTTAACTGGAAGTCTTATAAATCACACAGCTTATTTAATTTATGTGACACAGCTGTGCAGGATGCTTTGGTGGTTGCACAAGACACAGGACAAAGGTCAGAAAAATCAGAAGTATTTCGGCCAAATAGAGCTGTTGGCAACTACGCGCGGAGATGTTAGCATTGGTGTTGTTATTGAATGTCTTAATTAAAATGTAAAAACTACAAAGAACGTGATTTAATGTGGATGAATGTGATAATATTTGTAAGTTGAGCCTGGAATTGGATGAAGATAAAGTGAAGTGCAGTGATACTAGGAAACAAAACTACAGTTGAAAATGCTGATCTGTGGATAAGAAATTAAAGATAAAAACTGAATGGGAACAAGACTTTTAAAAATAATAATGCTGAATGAGACTTAAAGTACTCTTTAATAGCAAAATCATCCAGCTGTACCTTGGAAAAGGCAAGCTCCAATTCTCCTTCAAATGAGGATTTAGATTAGACTAGACACTTAAAAAACAAATTTACAAATTACAGTGAACTCGGTTTAAAAAGGGCAAATTGCACTTTTACCATAGAATCATCTAAATCTCACCTACCTTAAAAATCATCAAGCTTCAGCTGTGGAGCTGTCGTGGCAAAGTGGACAGTTCCATTTTGGAGTATACATATGAAGAGTCTAACTCGAGACATGAGAAATTGATTTTTTGGAGTCGATTTTAGATTCCTCTTCAAATATCAAAGACCTAAAAAAAGGGGGGAGGAATATTGAAATAAGCAAGTTTTTTTCCTCATTTTAAAATGTTTATCTGTTTCTTTTAATAGTTTTTATTCTTTTGAAAGGCATCTTTGTGGGACATAGTAATTGCAAGTACAAACTTGACAAAACACCTGTGAAATAGCTGTGCTACTTTACACATTTATTATGTGAAAATACTTCTCATTGTTATTCTCCGGGCTGCTATGGACTAGCTAAAAATGTTTGGTTTTGATGAAAAAAGCTGTTACTCATTTTTATGGGAACAGGAACTCTCCCCACACCCTCCTCCTTGCTACCTTTTGCAAGTAACCTAAACATTGCAGCCAGCCTACTCAATGAGTACACAGTTCTCCAAAATAAGAACGATCAAGTGCAAATATCCTTGTGAACATGGATTTATGCAAGTATTTGGGATATTTGCTTTTAAAACCGACAAGCAAAAAAGATCAGATACCTATGAAGCAGGCTAGCTGGTTTCACTAACAGGAGTGTCTGCCAGTTTCTCATGTTTTAATGTTCAGGCGAGAGCCTGATCTAATTTTAATACACATTAGTTGTTTACTCCATTGTAGATCAGCAGAAGACATCCGAGGTGGCCAACACTCAAGGACGTCTACTGTTTGCTCAGATCCTTACTCTAAAACCTCAGGAGCAGCACAGGAATATTTTGGCCCACCACGAGAGAGTTATCCTCCCAAGGAAACCTTCTCAATGAAGTGTTCAAAGGTATGCACAACAAGAGGTATGTGAGATTCTTATTGCCTGCCATCCACCCCTCTCCTTCCAAGGACTTGTCTTGGTTTTGTTTCTGTGTTTAGAAGCACAATGAAGTAAAGCTAGAAGAATATTAAAAAAAAACCCAACCTGAACAAAAAAACCCAAACCCCCCAAAAACCCCAACACTGGGAGAGTTCAAGGTAATGAATGACCTAACTGCAGATTACTAACATGTTTTAGTCATCCAAAAGCAAGATTTATAGAGCTATTTAGATACTTGAAAATGCATCTGCAGAATATGCATCCAGGGCATCAGAGTGGGTCATGTGTGTAATCACCCAGGTTGTGCAGCAAAGGTTAACCTTTGAGATTTAAGAATGAAATAGGTATTTGCATCTGTAGGCAATTTAAATATGGCTGTTGAAGCTTTGGTGCTAGTTTATTTCTGACACATTCTTCTCAGACTTTTTATCAACTCTGGATTTAATCCAGTCGTCACTGATACATCTTTATAAAGAAACATTGTGGGATACAAAACTATTTTATGAACATGAATCCAATGAAACAGCTCTTGAGAAATAACTTTGTTTTTTCATAGCTAGAAAGTGACTACAACAAGCAGAGAAATTAACATTAATGTGGGAGGAAATCAGCCGTAACACTTAGTAAACTCGTTCCCATAAAGGGAAAAAAAGTCACTAAAATGTCTGTTACTCCTTTAAACTTTTCCCTCTTCGAGGACAATGAGCATTCTCACCTTGTTTGCAGGAGAGGCCCACTGCAGTCTGAGTTGAAACTTGCAGCTAAGTGCAGAATCTTTGGCTGAAGACTGTAAACAGCCTTTCAGTATCCTCCAGTAGAGAGACAAATGAAGAGTTTAGTTGTTGGAAGTAAATTAAAATACCTAATGTTAGATTATTTCTTTGCTCCATGAAGGAAAGTTAAATAACACACTCAATTTGCTCTTAATATTTCTCTGTATGTTAATATATGAACAATTTTAAGAGTGAGCTGAATGTGAGTATTTGTATGCAGTTTGTTTTTCATCTCAAGGAGACTTAACTCCAACAATTAGAAGAGCATATTTAACGATACAGGGCCATACTGATCTTTTACGCCTGATAAAATTGTATCATCCTTTTCTTATTCAACAATACTAAATTATTTTAAGTTGTCTGAGAAGCCCTAGAAAACTCTATGCCTTGTTTTATCACAGCTTTAGAAAAATGAAGTGGGAAGATATTTTTAGTGTTCAGTTTCACTGGCTGTTTAGACTTAACGGATAGCTTAATGTGACTTGCTGGGTGTTTTTTTCCCTGCATTTGCTTCTCATTACTTCAGTGCATTAAGCATCATTAACATTTTCAAAATGTCCTAGTTTTGGATGCATGAGTTGATGATGATTATTTTACTCCCACCTCTCCCCCAGGTATTGCTCAGTATTTTCCAAAAATAGAGTGTCTGAGGTTTCAGTGGAGGAGGGAAGAGAGATCATGTAGAAAATAAACTCTTTTATTAGCAGTTTTATTTCAAAAAATTAAAAGATATTGGAAGTTGATAAGATTATGAGAATGTTACTCCTTTGTTTAATTTTTGAAAGTACCAAGATTTAGCAGAATTTCCTAGAATTGTTTTGCAGAATTCTGTATTCCCTGCAGTCATAGTAAATGTTATAAATGAAAAGCTACATGAATTGTTTACTAAGAAGTCAATACATGTGGGCTACAACATCTTAAAGCATGAAAAGTTTCTGTAAATATTTCTCAACCATCTCTTTCTTTTGCCAGTGGTTTATCAGCACTCTGGTGAAATTTTCCCTTCCCAGTCACCATAATTCTGAAATAAACTAATATCAAACAAGGCCGGTAAATCAGGTGGTGTACCACAGTCTTTTCCAAAGCAGCAACTGAAATGTGAACATTAGTTTCTGACTGTGCATCGCTCTACTTTCACTATTGGGTTTTTTCTCTTTTTCCCAGCAAATATACTTATGCTCTTTGTGCACGTTGACCAGTTTGGCAAACTAGAGAAGAATTGTAAACAACCAGAGCTCTGAAAAGTATTTGCTTCACCCAGATACTGCCCTCTTCATCACTGCTTTTCACCAGCAACACCTGAAAAAGCTAACGCTGAGTTTCAGAAACAGCAGTTATTTTTGCAGGGATCCTTCAAACACCTGAGGTGCAAGCAGCAGCAGAAAAAAAGGATATTGTTCTCCTATCTTTGTTATTCCTACCTTCCCTCCCTAATCCTCCTCCTTTTTTTTTTTTCCTACAACTGCATTAAGAAAATAAACCCAACACAAATACAATGGAAGAAATAACTGATACTGACCCCTTTTGCCAGTAGGAATACTTGATACCATTTAAGAAACTTCAAAACATTGTGCTCCTTTTTGATCCTTTCATCTTTAAAACAGAAGGAAAAAAGTCTGTTAAAACATTCTATGAGCAATGCCTAGCCAAAGCCGTTCAGGTAGGATCACGTGGCTAGCAGTACTGGATCATACGAGGCACATAATTACACATCCCCTCAAACAATGTACTAGAGTGCAAATTTAGGAGGACTGTGAGAGTTTGGAGCAGTAAAGAGTGAGCTGTCTTCTGGAATACTCTTCAGACTTTGGATTGGTGGAATTTTGAGAACTGGAAAACCACTTCTGTTATGTTTAAGACCTCTTTACATACCTATCAAATTTGCTTAATCATTTTCTGAATCCCCTTTTGAATGTTTGGTCTCCACATTGTCTTACGACAAGGAGTTCAACAGTTTCTTTGTGCTACTTGAAGAAGTACTGTTTTGTTCCTTAAAATGTTTTAAAGAAGGTGTCTCTGATTCTGGTGGTATTCAAAATACCTAATGATAATCTCATATATTCTCCTTCTCCATGAGATTTATGATTTTAGAGTGAAGTCTTCCCTTTCTCCCTGTCACTGTGCTCCTATTACTTCTTCATAGATTGAAGAATAGTCAGTTCTGTCCCTATGAAGAGCAAAGTCTTTCCAGTTGTGGTTAGCTTGCCAGCCTTACACCTTTTCCAGATCCATCATACCCTTTTGAGATGGGCTGCACTCAGAATTCAATATAAATTCCCAAAAGAATCCAACATCTGCATAAAGGTTCTGGTTCTGTAGTCCTATCCTAATACTTCCTAGCTTTTCATATGATGTTTGACTATCAGTGAACACTGAGCTGATGTTTTCAGAGAAGGCTACCTGATGTCTTTCCTGAGTGGAAATTACTTGTTGTAACTACTAGCAGGCACTCTGTCCTTTGGACCAATCTAGAGCTAAAATGAAGTACTTCTCTGTCCCCGGAAAATGTCTATCGTGTGTCGTCCCTAGATCTTCAGCTCCATTGTATGACTCTACAGCTCCACTCTCATTGTACTGCTAATGTGGGCATAACTAGTGACAGGCAGCACAAAACAGAGACTTCTTTCTTAACTCAGTTCATTTGAAAACGGGTTGTTTCCTCCTAGTCTTTATTTTCTTTTAATCACTATAAATGTCTGAGAGGATCCTATCTCACAGGAGCTTGTGTCATGTAAGAGCACTACCCTTTCTTCATGTATCTGCTGATTCTTTCAAATGAGTTCCCTCTAACAAACTTTTGACCCTTTCCTGACATGCTGTCTGCCACCTTTTGTTTCTGTAGTAGTGAGGGAGACTTAAGGAACAACTTATAGTCTGATGTCAAACTGTCTAGATGCTCTGTATAATTATATGGGAATTGGAAATAAACTGTTCATGATACAGACAAACCTTTCACCAGCTAAGGAACTACAGCTTCTAATAACCTTTTCTTACAACTTATGCACAGTAGCGTGTGCCATTTAAAGCAGCACATGTTGAAAACTACAAGAGTTTTTGGCCTGGGGATACTTAGAGCTGACATTCTTTCAGAAAAAAAACATTTAACTTACTTTTCACAGCACAGGTAAAATTTCTGTAGTTTTCTCTTCTGCGTAGAAAAACTAAATTAGTAATCATATTTGCCTTTCAAAGGACCCCTTTCAGGCCCTTTGAAAATATAACTAGATTCATTGCTTTTGGTTACCGGAGGGAATGAGAGAAGTGTTCGAGGCTGGCTGCCGTGCTGTTTCCTTCACCTTAGAGAGAGCAAAATCTGAGTCGAACCCAAGAGTGAATTGCTGATCTTAAATTTGTCACAGATATTTGGTCACTTGACCTTGAAAACTTTTCATTTTCTTTTTATTATGCATATCGGTGTGAAAGAGGTGGAGCAATGCAATTCCAGGATAATGCTTCCTTAATTTTGCTTAAACAGTGAAGGTAAATGAAGTTTCTCCCATCTTCAGCCAGTATGTGACTCAGGAAATGCCTTCACTTTTGCCTTGTGTAGAGTTGTACTGTGCTCGTCATAATTTCTGAACTAATAACTTTTTTTTTTTTTTAATTCTTCAACGTGCTTGGCATTTAAGGGAGACAACACTAAAAAGATTAGAAAGCAGTTTGTGAGGGAGCAAATATAATTGAATCCCTGTTCTTTGGTGCCATGAATACAAGTTAGCGCCATAAAAAGTGTCAGATTTCTTAAGCATGTTGTAGGCGCTTCCAAACAATCGTGCCTTTAGCCTACATTCTAACATCCACGATTGTTAAAACCTTCAGACCAATTTCCTCCCAGAAAAGGACAGCATTATGGTAACAACAACAACAGTCTCCAATTTCAAGCGTAGCCAGGAGGAAATATCAAACTGAATTTATTTGGAGGAGGAAATAGAAGTAGGGAGTAACAATGACTTTCTCCAGGATATATTCATGTATTAACAAGCCAGCATTAATTCAATGTAAATAGCTATAAGCTTTTGTTTTTACAAAACGCAGTCAAATTTTTTTCCTCTAGCTAGGTGTGCTGGCAAATACTCAGACTGGAAAAAATACTGAGATGAAAAGTTACCCTGAACACAGGGTCCACACTAGTAGACACTTGATTTGAGTAACGCCGTTGTTCATAACCATTATCCTGCTGCTGTTATGTTGCTTTGTTATGTCCTGATAC